TATATATATATATACAAGTCATTACTTATAGTTAAGCTCGTTATATATAATATAATTTAAAAATCACTCTCTTGCGATCTGTTAGTGTATTGTTAGTCCTCTTTTAGACATTACATACATAACATATTCAAAGAATTATTAAGAATATTATCGTTATTGCAGTTATATTTAGTTTTATTTAGATTACTCTATGTTATATTTAGATTACTCTATGTTACGTAAATTTTAATCCGATTATTACTCCGAATTGCGTTTTTAAATTTTGTTGTAATTTCATGAAAATTACTTTTCAATCTAGAACATTTTATATCTTAACGAACATAACACACAATTTGACTAACATGGTTCTCATTATTAAACGAGGATTCAATCTTGATTGCTCTTGACGAAATGGATCTGTTCGATTTGTATGATTATGACAAATTATTTTGAAAAATTACAAAGAATTTTTATAGAAGACGACGGATGGCTGACTGTTCGTTAGAATGTAAGAAATTTTAATTAGACTGTAAGAATGTTTTAGATTTATATTGTATTAAAGAAGATTCTCTGTGAGTCGAAACGTTTACGGTATTTTAATTTTAAATATACGTAGGTCGTTTGATAAGTTTGGTAAATTTCCATGAAATGGCACTACAATCCATTTGATGACGCGACATCTCGAAAGATCCACTCTTTGAACCTCTTCAGGCCAAATTTCAGCCAGAAAAGACGCATAGTTTGGTAGTCATTTGAAGTAGGCTATCTCAAAGTCTGCAAAATATTCATTGACGGCGACAATGACTTTTTCATTTGACGAGAATTTCTTCCCACAGAGCCAAGTTTTTAAGTTTGGGAACAGAAAGAAGTCACGCGGGACCAAATCCAGAGAATAGAATGGATGAGGAATCAATTCATAGCCCAATTCGTAGTTTTGTCATTGCAATGGTCGACTTGTGGGACGGCGCGTTGTCTTGATGGAAGAGCACTTTTATGCGCGCCAATCTCGCTTCAAATGACTACCAAACGTGAACTATGCGTCCTTTCTGGCTGAAATTTGACCTGAAGGGGTTCGAAAAATGAATCTTTCGAGATGTCGCGTCATCAAATGGATTGTAGCGCCATTTCATGGAAATTTACCAAACTTATCAAACGATCCACGTATATCTAAATATATTGTATATCTAAACATATATTGTATATAAATTTTTTAATTAACTATACATCTATGTTTTTTGCTAGATTATCGGTGATTATTAGGATTTTTGTATATAAATAATAATTTCGATAGATTAAATTATACAACATGTAAGATAAACTTTGCCGTTTTTAACAGCATAAATATATCTTTCGACAAACAGTCCTCGTGAATCCAATAATTAGATATTATCTGCAATAATTAGATATTATCTAATTACATTTTGGATCATTTTTAGAAGTAAAAATATGTAATGTGTAAATATGAAACGTATAAATAGATATTTGTTTTACTTTATTTATATTTACTATATTTATATTTATTATATTTACTATAGTACAATAAGTAGTCTAAGTTTCCAATAATCAAAATAATTTAATCATTAAAATGGATTAAAAAACTGTATTCTCTATTCAGAATTTTTAATTGAAGTAAATTAATATAATACAACATAATAATAATCAATTAATAAATAAATATTTTAATTTATTTATTAATTATTTGTCAATACGATTGAATTGATATATTCCACAACGGGATTATGCGACAAAATGTTTGTTTATAGTACCCTAATTTATATATTAGAGAAAATGACTACTGGCATTTTACCCTAACAAAAATAGTGATATATTGTCCCAAGATACCATTTCATCTTATGATAAGTCTATACAATACAATAATACGGCTGTTAAGAAAATGAATCAATATATACTGAATATTTTCTATATTAATAGGTTAACAAGATAATCGAGCTAAATAATGTTTGAACAATAACTTATATAAAATACTATAAAAATTATAAGAAGCACATTTTCGTGCCATATTTACCTCATAAAAACAATACTGTCAGGAAATTTTGATACTTATGCAACACATTAAACACACAATTGTAAATAATTTTTTTGGCACAAGCGCTGCTAGTCAGTGTCATTATTAAACACAACGAGTGACATATTTTCCTAACTGGTGTATTATCCATAGTTATCCTATATCAAAATCATGAATTCGATTGGGATAACATGCACATCTTAGACAATGAATCATCTTAAATCATCATAAAAAGAACGGTATCTGAAATGATACATATTAAAGAACAAACAATTGGTTTAAATCAGTGCTCAGAATTAGTTGCACATTTCGGGTTGATTTCTGAAGCGCTATCTATTTTTCCCTGGTCTAAACAAAGGGTGCTTTCCAATTGCTTAACACAAACGTACATAGGAATGTACAAAGTGTATCATTGTGTACGATTCAGTTGGAACAGAATGTGTGTACGCATGGTTGAGATTCGTTTCGGGTAGATTTAGATTAAATGTATGATTTTTTCCGCCTGCATTAAATAAAAAAAAGTAAAAGTACCGGCCAACATCGTCCTCACTTATAGCCGCCGCTTAGTAACATGTAATTGTCACTATGTAGCGTTGTGTCAATGATAACGGACAATTGGAACGCAACTTGTTTCGCCGAAAGTGTCTGGGGATATTGCAATTAGAAAGCACCCAAACAAAGCCACATCAAACATTTATTCGACGCTTATCTGCTTATTTTAGATCATTTCTCTCTATCTTAGATCTCACTATCTTACATTGTACTAATCGACAATAAGACAATTAAATGTACATTTTGATTGTTATTCTGTACTGTACAACCAACAAGAAAGGTTAATTTAATATTCACACTGAACCATTGGCAAAGAAATCACAGGTAATCAGATCACATACTATGTAATACAATCACCTCACATCAGACCGTATAATATTTTAAAACATTATAAACTTATAATAATAACAATATATACGATTACAGTATAGCTGCACAATATCTTGATAGTTCGCATTATACTTGGTCCAGAAATAACATCCTCTCTCAATTTGAATTTGAAAAAATACCAAGATATGAGACATAATTGATGTGCAAGCAGATACACAAGCTAAGATACAATGATGTAATAGTATCGGATACAATCAATGACAATATTTAATGTAAGTAATAGGATGCGGTTTTTATATATAATTGTTATTCATTGAGGAAGATCACATTAAGGATTGAAACGTTTTTGAAATTGTATTAGATTAAAGTAACATTTAAGAATAATATATAAGACACGACACATGATTATTAGCCGGGCTTGAAAAGCTCTAATTTAACTTTTGTCAATTTCATTCTATAAAGCCATACAATATCATATTCTTATAATATAAATTTTATTTCTTACAATATAAATTCTTATAATATAAATTTTATTTCTTACAATATAAATTCTTATAATATAAATTAATTAAATCTTATAATAAATTTCAAACAAAAGCTACAATAACAATAATTTCTCTGCAAAAATTGTAGAAAGCAAACCTTCATCCTGCTGTATTGCAGACTCAGTTCATCATTTCTTCGAACCAATTGTGTACCGAGTATGTCGCGCTCATTCATAACGTTATCAATATCTTTTTTCTGACGTACGATATCTGAATCTGCCTGATGTATAGCTAGTCTGAGGCTCTTTTCTTCCTTCTTTGCTTCTTCAATTTGTTGTCGTAAGTTGCTTATTTCCGTATGGGAAGTTTGCAAATCAATCTTAAGTTCCTCTTTCTCTTTATCAACTTTCCTTAACACTGCAAAATGTATGATTTTCTATACTTATAATTTTTGATTTATTATTATAATTTATTTAAAGGTAAATGTTCATTATAGGAGAAACCTCTCCGATGATCTTGACATATATTGTCAAGATTATGACTCTGAGTAACAAATTTTAGCTGTCGCTTGTTATCCATTAAATAGTTATTAATAAAATATACATCTAAAAAAAATAACTTCTTATTTCTGCTATATATATATTATTAAGAACTATTCTATATCCTTTCTTATTTATCTAATGGTAACCCACGCGAAGTAAATTCCATCCCATCTCCCTCCTTGCCACGGAGCACAACTTTCTACGTGAAGCGAGTTTCATCTCACATCTCCCCCTGTTTTAGATGAAAGTGAGATGAAAGTAGTTTCCCATGGAAATCATACGCCCTGAAGTAGGAAGAGGTAGAGTGAAAATCTCTATGTATTATTATATAAAAATAAAAATTATATAGGAAAATAATGTTTTCAAAAAAATTTTTATTTTTAAAGCAGCAAATTTTTGTTCTACATAGTAAAAAGAGAATATAACTAATAATATAACTACGAGGATTCGAAGCCTGATCCTCTGAGAGGGGCATGGGGCGCGATGGATACTCGTTGGCACGAAAAGGAAGGTGCCAGAGATATTTGTAGATGCGGGGGAAGGGAAAGGAAAGGCACAGGGAAGTTCCGGCGATTACGTAAATACCGATATCAATGATACATGTCACCATGTTGTAACGTCACGTATTATTGGGACCCTGCAGCCACCGCGGACTTCGCACCCAAAATGTGTCGCAGGCTGCCGTTGCAATCGTGCTACTTCATATATTTACTATTTTTCTCTCGACGCGTTGCCGTTTCTCCTATTTCCCTTTTTTCTTTTCACATCAAAAATCATTTGACATGTTATGACATGTTCGGATGATGATATCATCAATGTAATTTTGATTGATTGATACAATTGCGAAGTTGTCAAAGTATAATAACACATGCATAATAACACAAAAATTAAAAATTGAGATGCATTGCGACGTTGCCAAGTAGTGGGCATAATGACATAAAAAAAAAATCAATTTTAACTTCCGAATTGCGCGCGTTTATTTTCATACTTGTTATTCATTCTTTTTTTCTTATAACGGATAGGTATATATGGCATAGGATAGGTCGGGAAGTAAAGAAAGTATATATAGTGATGTGAACGAAATTTTTTATTCACACTTTATTACATCATTTTTTTCATGCGTATTAAATATTAAAATTAATAGTTCGCAATTGGTGGATGATCTGTAGATGTCCATTGAAGATGTCGCTATCGCATATAGTGTCTTCAAATGTTGGAGAATCGCGTACTTGACATTGACTGTATTGACGAGTCGGGCTAATCGTTCGAACATTATACCCGTCAAACATACGGCATAGCATCGTTCAGCGTGCAAACTCTGACGATTAGCGGTCCAATGTTTATAAAATTGTCTTTGTTTTCGTTTCGAAGCATTTTGTAAATATTCCATCGTTGCTCGTAGAGGCACGTTTCGAGAAACAGCGACAGTTCGTGTTCGCGATGATCCCAGGGCGATCTCTATGTAACTCGGTGAATCAACGTCGTTTCCAATTTCCAAATATTTATAACCTGTAACCATCAGGTTGTAACGTGCTCAGTAAATGCACAACGCCGTATACTCATTTCATTAATCGTTTCAATACCTTTAACCATAAAATTCCTTTACAATATCAAGCTAGCGAGCTTGCCCAGGATTTATCTATATGCGGCCATATTGTATAAGAAAGAGTTGTATAAGAAAACAATTTAGATCATAAGTGCCACCACGAGAAAAACGATATAGTTATTACTCATCCATTGCAACACTCTTTATAATGCCATAATTTGTAACCTGTCGAATTGCTGAACGTTCGCGCTGCACATATATTTTCACATCTGTTATTCTTTTTTTTTTCTCATGCGGACAGATACATATATATACGTATATACATTCATATATACATTCATACATTTATAATAATAATATAAAACGCTTAATTATTTGACAAAGACAACAAAATAACGAGCATAAAAGTTAATTGTTAGATTACAATAAAAATATTAGGTGTAATAAAAAAAAATCCATTATTTTTCCATTCAATTTCATGCAAAAATAATGGATTTCTTTTTACTACACCTAATATATATTTGGGATACACTCAATTCTTATACATTAAAATGTTTCGACTCACAAAGTCTTCTTCAATTAACAATACAATTAGCCTAATAATCTAATCGCAAATTTAAAAACGGAACTAATATTGTATCAACTAAAGTGTTATTCCACCATATTCATAAGAATATCGATGATGCTATCAGCACGCATAATATGATAATAAAAAAAGGAAGAAAGGAAGGAATAAATGAATAATGCTATACATCCAGATATACAGTTTAAATATGTGTTTATTTTTATTTAACATAGTTTTACAATATATATATATATATACATAGATAGTTTTTTACAATATGTATAAGCAGGAACTTTAATTTAATTTCGCTTATTTCAAATCGAATTTTTAGCACCTGCCTCTTATTAACAATAAAATATACATTTACTTTTCACACTGTTTACAATATTATCTAAAGCATAAATTATTAACTCACATTCTATATTTGAATTTTTATTATAAATTTTGCGCAAAAAATCTATGACATCACACTTATCGATGATACAATTTTTACAAAAAAGTGTTACAAAATATTTAAATTTTTCATTGACAATGTACGTATACTGGCACAACTCAGAGTACACGTTCTCAGCATAATGTTCAAGTTTGAATGTTCATGTTCGAACATGAAGAGCACAATTGATGGCTTCATATATAGATTCATGTATTGCACAGTGTCAGTTTGACCATATTCAGGCATTTTTACACATTTTTCTATCACAATATCTTAGACTAATAATGATAATGAATATACGATTGATATGTTGACACGAATCCACTCAATCCACACGTCTTTCGATGAAAGCTTGCCACATTGCATGAGACAAGATTATGTTGTTACTTCAATTGCAATTTCAAAGTACATAGATCTCACAGCGATCCCAACATCCAAGTATTTGTAAGCTGTAGGTTTCAGTGTAAATCTTCTTCCGAATGTAAGGTGTATGACGGGGTTACAAGAAGGTGCTCTGAAGAAAAAGAAATAATACATATTAGAGAAAAAGGAAGACAGAAAACAAACTGTAGAGAAAAGATATAAAAAATTATATTAGGTGTACAACTTTGCTTCCGCCGTTTTCCTATAGATGGCTTTAGCGGTAAGTGGTGGTCGAAATAAATAGACGTCATACAATAAACTTGGGCATCTGTCAACATAACCCCATAGAAACATTAGTTTTGTCTGCATCATAAAGTTATTCTCGATTGAAAATGTCAGTTTACGAGCCAAATTCTCGTCATTTGCGAGAGGTTTTAATTTTTTGCTTCAATATGAAGAAATCTGCGGCTCATCGAATGCTCTCAAATAATATTTATGGTGAAGCTGCTATTAGTGAAAGAACGTGTTGTGAGTGGTTTCAACGCTTCAAGAACGGTGATTTTGACGTCCAAGGTCATGCTCTGTATTTGGTGGGACCAGCTCGGCGTAGTGTATTATGAACTGTTAAAACCGACTGAACAAGGCGATCGGTATCGAACGTAATTGATGCGTTTGAGCCGAGCATTGAAAGACAAACGGCCGCAATACAACGAGAGACACGATAAAATGATTTTGCAGCATGACAATGCTCGACCCCATGTTGCGAAAGTGGTCAAGACATACTTGGAAACGTTGAAATGGGAAGTCCCCCATCCGCCGTATTCTCCAGACGTTGCTCCCTCTGACTATCACTTGTTTCGATCAATGGCACATGGCCTGGCTGACTAGCACTTCCGGTCTTATGAAGAAGTAAAAAATTGGATCGATTCGTGGATAGCCTCAAAAGATGACCAGTTTTTTCGACGCGGGATTCGTACGCTACCCGAAAGATGGGAGAAAGTAGTGGCCAGCGATGGACAATACTTTGAATCATAAATGTATAACCAGTTTTTTACAATAAAGCCTCGAATTTCGGAAAAAAAACGGCGGAAGCAAAGTTGTACACCTAATATATAAAATTATAAAAGGAACTTACTGTATATAAGACTCTTCATCTTGAAACGTAAAACTTTACGGCATCGTTTGAAAACCGTTGCAGCGATCTGAACAACTAATGCAGTTATCCAGGCTCTTTTTAAGTTTCATTCCCTTCCATCACATTTTTTCAGGAATGCATGGAATTTGGTCAATCAACACAAACGAGATAAAAAAATGCAAACGCCGATGTACGACTGCTTTATTAGTGTAATGAAAGATTTTTTTTCAAGGACATGTTATTGTAATATGATGACATAACATGTTTCACGATGACATCATGAATGTAATTTTGATACAGTAATTTTGAACATTTGCGATGTTGCCAAGTAGTGAGCATAATGAAATAAAATTTAAAGATTGAGATGCATTGCGATGTTGCCACATAGTGTGAATAATGATATAAAATGAAAACATCGAGATATAAATATTCAATTCAGTATAATTGTTGTCGAAATATTGACAAAGACTGATAGGAGTTTCGATTTTGATTCGGTCCGCAGTGGACAAGTTACTAGAGCTCTATGATTGTTCAATAATAGAAAGCGAATCAGAGTGTAGTCCAAAAAATGCAATTTTATGTTCTTTTTATAGTTATCTTTTCTTAAAAGATCTTCTTTCTTATTATTATATCTATCCGTGCTTTATATTCACACGTATAACCGTCTTCTTAATTTTGTATGTACAACTCTGTGTGATTTGAATAAAAGATTTTATAATTATATCAGGTTATGGGCTTAGCACGTTTCCACTGCACTAATAAGATAAGATGTGTGTAAAACTATTGTGATATTTGCGATTGAATTGGTTAGAATAGTCGTGAATTAGTTAGAA